GGTCTTAGAACCCGTGTGATTGCTTGGTCTACCAGCAGTTGGAGTTTTGGTAGACAGCCACTAGAGAAGGACTTCACGCTGCCATAATTATATAAAAACTGCCATAATTATACTTGCAGGGTTAAGGATGATGGGAGTTGGCACCAAGACCACTTCAATTGGCTGAAGTGGTCTGGGTGCCTACAGTGTCCCTTTAAAATCCATATGTGGCTCTTATATGCTAGCAAGAAATCGCACATTTGAATTAATTTATTTGAAATGATAAGTATTTGGCTGTTAAGAAGCTGAAATTACTTTGTATTAATGCATTTAGATTTACCCTCAATATATAAATGGGAAGTAAGCAACAAACCTTTCATTGACATTTGTCAGATAAAATCTTTTTGAATTTTTGGAGAAATGGCCGCCCTCTCACATTTTTTAGACAAGCAATCGCTGAACTAAATGTGTTTTATATTGCTGTTTTAATGACCATGTTTTATTTATTTGCTTATCTGTCAACATTCCATAAAGTGTATATTAAAATGTAATGAATATTTCAAAGTGAAAAGAACACAATAAAATTAAAAAGACATACAGTAAATCAGGAATACATTGCTAAAACATTGTCAGCTTGTATCCCCATATAAACTTAGTTAGAGAGTAATAAAGTTCTAAAACTATAAACCTTATGCACACTCTACGACATGGCAGGAATACCTTTTTTACAAAAAAAAAGAGGAGCAATTATATAAATGTACTGCTCCTTGTGTTATGCCACATCTACCGACAGCTTGTGCTCCACCTCCATATCTGTCAGTATGTCAGTGGAGAGGAGCTGCAGGGCCCGCGGCAATCCGTGTGGGCGTCTGTCTGCCTTTCCCGGGGGGCATCGTGATGTCTGGCACCAGCTTTGCAGCAACTCCTGGTCAACTAAATACACCAGAATTAGAGGCCTACCCAGGTTATGTGGTACCCGGGGCAGAACTGTGAATAGGCAACTCCGTCAGCTGTTTTTTGTTTTGTTTTGTTTTGTTATAAAGACACATGCTTACATTCATATATATATACGCACATTAACATATATATATACACACTCTCAAATTCGTATATACACACATGCATAGTCACAGACACACATTCATACACACACACACAGATTACCATTCAAGATATCCTAACATGCAAAAACCCTTCAGGCGGTTGGCTGCACGCCCGTCAGACATAAAACATTTCACCAAGCTAAAGTACTTTAGTGGTCCATAGTGTCTCCTTAACTCTAGTATATTCAGCAGATTTGTAAAAAAACGCATGGGCTTAAACCACCAGCCCTAGGGAATATAAATATATCCATGTTATATGAAAAATCCTCCTTCAATGTTTTCTTGACACTCCTCAGTTCAACAATAGATTCGAGTAATCTAGAGTACTGAGTCATTGTTCACTAATAATTTAAAGAATTTTCATTACAAGAATTATTGTTTAGAAAGGAGCTTTCCTTTACAATTCCTCGTACACAGTTAAAGTGTCGTCCAAAAAATCTTTATCTCCAACTGTATTCAAATTTACTTAACTAAAGATAAAGGAAATTGTTCAAACAAGCCGCCTTGAGACTAGGAAAATACCCACAAAAGATTTCAGCTCAGAACCTTATAAAAAGTAATTTGATGGCAGATAAGGATTATAATACATATTTCATAACTGTAATTAATATAAATTCACCTGAAAACTGAAACTGGAATTCAATTGTTAAAGCAGAAGGAAGCCTGTAAAAGATGTCACATGATCGCACAATTAATACCTGCTAGCATGGGTAGGGGTCGTGGATGGAGATACTGGGTCTCCCACTTATAAAAAATATTAGAGCTCCGATACTACGACATGGGTGAGGTCCAGGGAAGCGGATACTAGGTCCCCCCTTACATTTTAAAGCTTCCCACACCCAATACCTAGTTGCTAGTAGTTTTAAATGTTTTGTAGGCATGCCCCCACCTGTACATTACCTTCATTATAGCAATATGAGAACTTTTGGACCCCTCTAGGATTTTTATTTATTTATTTTAATTATATTTTTTACTTTTTTATGTGGCGGCTGGCTAGAGTTTTTGAAGGACGTTATGCATTGACCTTTATCCTGTCCTTCAAATAAATGGTTATAGCACTGTTTATGTACTCTGGTTGTGCTTCCTTTTTTCATATTTACTAGTGGTTTTTAAAGTGGCAATGCTGAGGGTTTTTCACTAATGCTAGAGCTGCCCGCGGACAAATAGTTCTTCAAATGATCAATTCTCTTGCAAAAAGTAATTTTTGAAGGGCATCCTCTGCATTCGGTTTTTCCTCAGCTGCCTTGCGATCATTAATAAATCTCAGATTCCGATGCTGTAAATTGGTTTGTGGAAATTAGTGATTGTCTGTGATCATCCGAACCGACTTTACAGAATCGGTGAGATTGACTGAATCCTGGCCACAATTGGCTTTAGTAAATATGAGACTTGCTAGTGCGGTTGGAATTTAGTAGTTTTCATAAGATATTGTTTATTTGGACAAATTCTTTCCTATTCTGTTTTTACTCCTCCCCCTCTGCTCCATACTTAAATAAATTAAAAAAAATACGTAAACTTATCTCTGTTCCAGTGCTGAGGCCAAGTTCTCCTGATGGTCCTTTTCTCCTCCACTGATGTCACACTGTTTAGCTGAAAGGATGTAGGAGTAGGACATGCTGATGAGAAGACTGACCGCACTGAGTTTGACAGTGCTACCATTGGACACCTGTCACCAGCATCTTGGACAGACATCATATAAACGCAGAATTAGTCAGCTTGGAACCTCATGTTCTGGGCTGGCTAATGATGCCCCAGTGATGGTGCCAGAGGTGGAATTACAGTTTAGAGTGAAACGCTTCACACACAGCACACTCCTGGCACCAAATACTTTGCTTATGGGAGTATTTGTAAATAACCTGATGACATTTTGTAGAAATAAAGCATCTTTAAAATCCCACCAGTATTTAAAATTCATGCCTGTAATAATACATAATAACTTAATGCGGTCAATTTAATTGCACCATGCACCTGCCTTATACAGACCTCCATTGCAGCCTGGAAATAAATCCTATAGTGTTCGTGGAATGCCATTTCCTCGCTGCATTACACCTATTAAAATGGAAGTATGCCCCCACCCGCAGATTACCCTTGCGCAAATCAGTTCCAGTGCCTAGTGCAGACTTCAGAGACACCATTGCTACTATAAAAGATATTGCCATGAGAGATGCAATAATGAACTGTTCCAGAGCAGCTGGCAACATACAGTTCGAAGGCTGCACACTGACAATTTATGGAGATATCCCATTTCAGTTCTGGCAAAGAAGAGGAGATTGGCTCTGGTAGTAAGGAAGCTGAGAGACAACTCAGTGAAATGTCGCTGGGTGCACTTGGGAATGGGTTCCTCAATCTGACCTCATCCGATGAACGAGAGGCATTTATACAGAGACTGGGCCTATAGGCTATACCACAAGCACAGACTACATCCTCACCTAAACCAGACTTCAGGTTTTTTTCCTGTTACGCTAGCTGCACAAGGGTATGAAAAGTTCAGTAGTTCCACAAAATTACCCTTAATGCTTTTCTTAAATGTTGATACACAACATATAAATATATAGCTAAGTGTGTTCATGAAAAAAGATGATTAATTTTCTGGTTATTTAATATATTGTTTATTGCTTTTGCCCATGCTTAGCATGTATCGATCTACCTTTTTTCTACATTCATATAATGGGAATGATGTATACCAGGGGTAGGCAACCTATGGCACGTGTACCATGCACGGCACTTGAGGTGTCTGTGCACGACACTCAAGGCTGCTAGGGCCAAACAGGCTCTGGCCTATCTGGAGTCCCAGTGAAACTTCAGATATCTGCTAATACGAAAAGGTGGTGAAGGATAATCCTCAATTTATGCAGTGCAGCACGTGGAGGAAGTGAGCTCAGATCACTTCCTCCCAGCACTTGTGAAAAGTAATCCACACTGTGTTAAAGCAGTACACAGATGCTGTTGCAGCTCCTGTCCTTGACCTGTACCTGCCCAGGCTGGTCCCCACTGGGAAGCCACCCACACTGCTAGATATACACAGAAATGCAGAATAACCCTCCCCTCATACAAATAATATGAACAGCCCACACACAAACACAACACACAATCCGCACAAACTCAACACCACTAACAATCCACATGCATGCACACAATCCCACATGCAGCCTCTCACATGCTATACCCCAAACAGCCCCCAGATACTACCAAACACACAATGTGACATATCCATCCACACACACAATTCCACAAGCAGCCCTCATACACAGCCCACATTCATAGGTTTCATACACAATACCACAAACTACACATGAACATATACAATATAATAGCTCATATACACACAAATACAACGATACAAAGCAACTGCAGTATAAATAACACAAGCAGAATATGGCAACATGCACACCTCAATTAAAAAAAAATAGGATCGGCACGCTACGGGACATCACAATCCTATTTCAGCACAGTGCTGCTAAAAGGTTGCCTACCCCTGATGTATACTATGTGTGCAAAACTAGAAATTGAGAAAAAATGCAGGTATGAACTATGACTTACAAAGTCTAAAGTGAGTGGTGAGGAAAATAGGCAGTCAGTTAAAATCCTACTGCGGATGTCCGGGCAGGAAAATTATTTGCTGGATGAAAATAATGCAGGGTCAAGGAGAACGTTAATTGGCGTTTAATGGGTGGAATTTCATTTTGCGATGTTTTTGTAATTTGTAAATTGAAAGGTAGCCCATCTATTCACATATTTGCATAGAAGTGGATTTTACGTAAATAACACAAAGGAATATAGATAAAAAAGTCTTTATTTAAACATTCAAAGTATCATTATATACAAGAAACACACATTTTAAGTTCTTTATTATAGCACATTGTTAACATTGTATGATTTTTTTAAAATTATATTTTATTTACAAATTAATTACTTCTACCTTGCTTAACAGATTTTTTTCATTTACGATGCATGGGTTCTTTGAGTACCCTTGATTTAAACTGTAACTCTTTTCACCCTATCATAGATTCAATGCACATGGCAAGATAACTTTGTAGAGTATGCATACTTTGGGATGTGTATTGATAAAAGTTTTTCACAGTCTGATTGAATTTTTAAAAATATAGGCACAACCAGTCAGGTACATAAATAGCAACAGAGGTCCAATACCTGTCAAGTTCACTCTTCTTTGAGTATTTTTAACATTCCCTGCATTGGCCTGGGTTTTAATTCATTCTATTCAATGCTCTTCTCGGGAGTCGTGCATGAATGGAAACATTGTCCTTATCTACTGCTCACTGAAAACCTTGCAAACTAGTTCTTGAGTTGCGTTCAAAGAACCATTGTAAAAGTCCACTGATTTCTCATCTTTAAGGTCTTCTAGGGTCTACAGTCAGCTTTTGGTTTATTGAATCATCTTCACATACCCATTTTGTTGTTTCATTAGTATAATGTTATTTCAACATGGTAGAGTAGTCATCATGACCAGGGATATCTAATAGGTCTTCATGGTCTTCAGTAGAATTCCCAATACATATATTTAAAGAGTAAAAGTTGCCAAAATCCCATTTTGTAGCAAGGTTAGCCAACTGATCTATGGCATCTTAACCAGTTGCATTCGGACTTGCTAAAAGCTGAGATTTATGGAAGTTGTAAGTTTGCCAACAATGGAGGAACATCAGCTCATGCGCCAATCAACTGATGACCTTCAGATCGGCAAGGTCACAAACAATATTTTCTTAAAAATAATTTAAACACAGACATGAAAGCATTTCTATATAATTGTTTGTTATTTTTGTAACAGTTAGTAATAGCTTGCCTTGTTTCCTTAAATTACCCGTACCATTTTATTTCATCTATAAACATTCAACTATTTTTCACCACGAAGCAAACGACATCTTACTAGAATTGAAGTTTTTTTATATCAAATAATTTTCTTTTTACTTTAATAGTTTTCATACATATTTATTGTGAGAAAAAAAAATCTCCTGTACATTACTCAGAAAAACAGCTATTTATAGAGCCAATAGGCAGTGGCTTGTGAAAGGTGTTATGGTGTCAACCACAAAAAGCAATTAGTATAAAAAAGAAAAAAAGTTTGAAGGTTAGAATTGCTTTCAAAGTTTGATGTAAACGTTTCCAGTTTATATTCTTGATGGATACGTGGTTACTACAGATTCTGTTTGTTAACACTGTAAAGGTTCCCCACTTAAAGTAACCATGCCATGTTTTTTTTATTTTGGTTTTTCTTTCCTTACGCCCCTATATGTTAATGATTACACTCTCCTCCTTATCACTTGTCTTTATTTATATTTATTACCTGTTCTTCCTTGTGCCGGATCACAATACCTGTTCTCTTCTGCCCATTATGTCTGCTGTTTGCCCTTCTGTGGTATGGATTTTACTGGTGGATTGTGGGTACACTTGTTTGGCGATTGACACAGAACCTTGACTTAAGCCCCGCCCTTTATCAAATTTTGTCAAATTGACTACATACCAAAAAGCAGTCCTTTTTTTTTAAACTTATTTATTTTATGAAAAAAAAATATAAATACAGATACGGAGCTACATAGAAGCAAATTAGATCACGTTTAGGGCCACTTTAAGTTTGTTTATGGTGCTGGCTAACTTTATATAATCACTTTATGTTTATTGTTACTATTTCATAATTGTTTGAATAGGGTTTGCACTAGCAGAATTAAAAGTCTTTTTGGTTCAAATCCTGAAATATTTAGAAATTAATGATTAAAACATGGTCTGCTTGTAGCAAAGTAGACACATATTCACGCTTGTGAGAGTTGAAACTAATATATTTTTTAATGACCAAATATCATGTTTCCTCACTGGGCTACAAATATCTTGCGGTCAGGAGGTTTTATCTAGCAGTTCACAATATTAGAACTATTCCCATTATTTTGTGTAATGTAATCAAGTCTTGCAAGTCTTACAGATGTGTGTTCAGTGAATCACATTCATCCATTAGTCACCTCCCTATTAAAGGGATTCTATCACTTAAAATAAATGAAATTTTATATTAATGAGTTGATTTTTATATCATCATCTTCATTTTGTATAGCACAGAAATGTGACGCTCGTTAAAGTGCAGAGAAGCAGACATGTTGGATGCTCAGTGTAACTACCTTTTCCACTATTTACTGTACGGTATATCCACGGTAAATGTTTGGCAAATTAGCAGCCAATGAGAATGGCGGAATGTTGGGAAAAAAATATTGGTTGAGTGAAAGAGAAGACGAAAACAATGCCACTGTAAATTTGCTATTAAAAGCATTAGATACATTTGCAGTTTTTATAATTTGCTAAAAATCTGATAATTAAAAAAAAAAAAATGCTTGTTGACATTTTTTAGGACCATGGGTGTTAAAGTAACTTTTCCATGTATAATATCATGATATAAACGATAAAGATCTATGCCCCACTTTATTGAAAGCAGTAAAAAATACTTATTTAACACACCATGAATTTAAAATTAAAGCTGTGAAATATCTTTATTCTTAACCTAAAATTCATTTTTTTTTTCACTTTCCGGTTCCTGCTAGGTATATTTATCAAATTATAAATTGTTTGATTTAGATGCTCAGATTTGATACTTTTTTTACATTTTTTTTCATTTATATTTCCTTTAAAGCTGTGTTTTCATTTTATTTCCCCCACAGATAACTAATGGTTGTCATGGTTATCCACTAAACCGTTTATTAAGATCAAATTAGTCTTGCTAGGATCAAAGCTTATTTGTAGAATCTTTATAGATCGACTGATTTATAAAACATTTCAGTTCCTTTTAGCTCTCCCTATAGATCTCAGTTTAGTGACTAACCCTGTGATGCTCTTTAATAGTTCAATACGTCGCCTTATTTACTATTATAACAATATTTTGGTCTTGTTTACTGTGATGCATTGAATGTTCATACAAGTATTAGAAAAATATATTTAAAAAAAAAAATACAAAATAATAAAAATTGCAAACACAAAAACTGTACAGATGTGCTAAGACACTTTCGGACCATTGCAGTATTAAATTATATTTTTTTGCTAAAAAGGGCCAAAATAAATAAAGTCATATACAAACCAAGCGAAGAAAATGCAACCCAGTCTCAAAAAATAGGAAACAAATTGTTTAGTGCATTTTCAAGATTCCTTGGCATTTAAAACATCTGATGATGATTTTTCTGTATTATTTTCATTATAATGTATCTCACAGTCAGGTGAAAAGTCTTTTTGACAAAGGAAAAAAACTCGTGTTTTCCTCAAGGTTCCCCGTAAGCAGTCAAAAAACACTTTTTGAAATGCAGTTGAAGAAAAATAGAAGACAACTGGATCCAAACTGGCATTTAAAGTGCTGAAAAGCAATGCATTAACTCTCCATTTTGGGCTCTCATTTTTTATAAATCCAACTATATGGGAGATATTGTATGGAGCAAAACAGACGCAAACATTTATAAGAGTTGCCAAGGCTAAACCAATTGCCCTTTGCTTCCGTTTTCGTTGAATGTTGGGCAAATTCATCAAAATCTTGATAAAGTTAATGTAACTATAAAGGGTGATTATGAATGGAATGAAAAATAGTAGCAATCCAAGTTCTAATCGTACCGGTAGTAGAATCTTTAGCTGTTCGTTGGTGAAGTTTTCATAGCATGTCGAGTGATTGACCTGCTTGTCGTTGTTTGGCAGTGCATACTGGATAATGTAGACAATGCTACAATTAGCACAAGCCAGGAACCAAAACAAGATACTTGCAATCACGGCATACATAGGTTTGCGGTTAAGTTTGTACTTTATTGGAAAAGCCACCCCAAGGTAACGTTCCACACTAACAGCGGTCAGGAATAATGTGCTGATATAGATGCTGCTGTAGTAAAAAAAGCCAGTGATTGGACACAAAAATATGGGCATATCCCAAATCATCCCAGCCGCTGCCTCCCTCATCTTGAAAGGTAGAAACATGATAAGGACAAGGTCCGAAATAGTTAAGTTGAGAAGAAGGATGTCTACTGGAGTTTGCTTCTGTCGTACTCTGGTAAAAAAAGTGTAGAATGCCAACAAATTGGAGGGTAATCCTGTAATGAAGGTCACAATGTAGACTGCCAAAACAAGGTGACTGTGGCTACTTGTATCCATCATGCCCCTTAATTCAGAAAGAAACCAAAAAAACAGCAACTGGTTAATATAGTATGCCTCAAATATAAGATAATATTAACATTGAAACACATTGTAATATAATTTTGAACCATGAGTGGCTTATGCCTTGAAGTCAAAATAAGTCAAGACCTTATATTCACAATTAATTTAGAATCCGAGAATACTTAGTGTGACTTAAAATTAGCTTTTTTTCATTTGACTCCTAGAATAATACATTTTCCACCCTAATTCTGATTTTTCTTGTCAAACATTCAAACAATTGTTGTATAAATGTAGAGGATATTAAAAAAAAAATAGTCTCTTCTCTGCTTTGTACCAATATCGGAATTTAGTTTACTTCTACACTGATCAAGCACAACATTAGAACCACCTGCATAATATCGTGTAGGTCCCCCTTATAATTCCAAAACAGCTCTGATGCATCGAGACATGGACTCTACATGTCCTGTAGTATCTGGCAACAAGACTTTAGCAGCAGATCCTGTAATTCCTGCAAGGGGGATCAGGTTTGTTGTTCCAGCACATCCAATGGATGCTCAATCAGATCAGGTTCTTCAAACCATTCCTGAACAATTTTTGCAGTGTGGCAGGGTGCATTATCCTGCTAAAAGATGCCACTGCCAACAGGAAACACTATTGACATGAATGGGTTTACTTGGTCTGCAACAATCTCTAAGTAGGTGATACATGTCAAAGTAACATCCGCATGAATGCCAGGACCAAAGGTTTCCCAGCAGAACATTGTTCAGAGCATAACACTGCCTCTACCAGCCTGCCTTTTCCTATAGTGCATCCTGCTGCGACCTCTTCCTCAGGTAAACAAATGTTTAAGTAGTGTGTGTTTGACTGGGAAGTCCTTACATTTACGCAGCAATAACTTGGAATACATTACATACATATACCTCACAGCATGTAGACAAATTAGGTGAATTATGTTTATTAAAATAAAATTAAAAAAAATAAATACATTTTTTCCAAAAATAATATTATTAAGGTCTCTTTTTAAGTTTGGTTAATTTGTTGATTTTATTAAACCAGACCATCATAATCACATCTACGGAAATGTCAGAAAAACTGTAATATATTAATTATGATTATAAATCCTCTGCTTCTTTATGTTCACAACGTGTCCGAACAAATATTAAGCAAAAATGATTCGCAATTACGACTCACCTGAGTAAGGTATACATTTATTCTTTGATTAATTAATTTGTGGTCCCATTCATCTTAAGAACAATAAGGAGTTCTTATAAACTATCTATTTACTGGACTTTACAGGGTGAGATCAATCCCAACATTTCAAACAGACAAAGAAAGACACTTTAATTTTAGGGGTGTGGCCAGTAACAGGGCTGTTCTGAGAAATATTAGGTGATTTACTAATTGCAATTTATCCAACTACAATATAATTTATTAGAACAATGTATCTTATTTACACATACTGATTTCTAAACACATGTATTGTAGTTTAAAGACACATTACTGGGAGTATTATTGCTGTGGAGCTCTGTTATACACTCAGACACAGTACTGGGAGTATTATTGCTGTGGAGCTCTGTTATACACTCAGACACATTACTGGGAGTATTATTGCTGTGGAGCCCTGTTATACACTCAGACACATTACTGGGAGTACTATCGCTGTGGAGCTCTGTTATACACTCAGGCACAGTACTGGGAGTATTATCGCTGTGGAGCTCTGTTATACCCTCAGACACATTACTGGGAGTATTATTGCTGTGGAGCTCTGTTGTACACTCAGACACATTACTGCTGTGGAGCTCTGTTATACACTCAGAAAAGAGGGACATTAGCATATAAAAGAGGGACAGAGGGATTTGGGTCCAAAATAGGGACTGTCCCTTCTAAGTAGGGAAGCTTTGGAAGTATGGATCTTGTACGTCTCTCGTAGTGCCTCCAGTAAGGATTATGTGTAATGAAATAACTTCAGTGAAATGTCTGTTTTGGATTAGTCAATTTGCATGGATTGTTTACTTATAAACACTGATAAGAAATGCATTTTCATACGTTGCTTAGCAATTGGCTAATTCAGACCAGACGCGGCTTTCCTGCTTTTGTCTAACTAATATCCATTGTCTGCCGAAAAGGCCTTTAAGTGGAAACCACATAGCAAAACATCAGACAGGAGGCTTGGAATAAATGTATCAAAATTTTCTTAAGTGTCTTTTTTTTGGGGTGGGGTTTAAAAATATTTGCTGATTTATTAAAGTGTTTTGAAAAGTAGTCTGAGAAATGTGACTTCTCTTGTCTATAAATTCCGATGGTTTCTTGCATCGCCCTTATGTTGCAGTAAGAACATTGAGTGAATACTCTGAGTATTCCAAGACAATGTTGAAAATAGAATTATTTTCTATTGCAACAACAAAAATTTTTTATTTAAAAGCCACAAAAGTAATAAATAATGAATAAGGTTGTCAAAACACGCTTTCAAATGTTAGCAGAGGGCTCTTAGTCCGGGTTTTATCAATCCAGCATCTTTAAGAATTTCAAACCAAATTTAGGCTCAATCGGAACCTGTTCCACAGAATCCAGATGTCCAGATTTTGTGACATTTGTGACATACTATGAACAATATCATGATTTTGCAGTACGAATGGCCCCGTACAGCAGTAAATAGTTTTGTCCCATTCAGTATGGGGTCATTCAGGCTTTAGTTATTTTCCCTGATAGTGTATGAATGAATGCAGGACTGCAAGGACTGATTTGGTAATTAACAGCGAAGGAGAAGTTATTAAGAATCGGAAGATGATGCTTACGGTACTCTACATTTTTTAAATGTTTAGCATGCTCCTCTTATTCATGTATAGATATCACATTATTTAATAAATCCATTAAACTAAACATTTTATTTATTTATTGGAAAAATCAGGCTCACTAAAATAGCTATAATCCCATTACTATGCGTCTCTTTTAAATATTCACATGACTCACACTAGTGTCGAGCTCTGTGACACAGATAATTCTAACATTTAAGTAGTGTTAATGCGGTGGAGCTCTGTGATACATTCATATCAGCTACACATTTCTTTGAAAATTATTGCTGTGGAGCTCTGTGATGCACTCATTTAAGCTACATATCTCTGTCAGGATAATTTACTAAAGTGACACTACAAAGTGAATTTCAAATTTAAGGCCAAAGTAACCAAGCTGAAAGCATAACAGAGAATTTTTTCGTTTAAGCAATTTTAACCTGAAATTTGAAATTCGGTTTGAATTCACCTAGAGTTTTCACTTTAGTAATAATGCTGTGTGCGTATTATCTCTGTGGAGCTCTGTGATGTACTCATTCGTATTATACATTATTATGATTTTTACTGCTGCGGAGCTCTGTGACACACTCATGCACGTCCTAAACAAATTCTCTAATTTCAACGTAGGAAAACTCGGAACACAGCTGAAAGGCTTAATCTGACTAAAAAGAGAATGCAAAAAAGTAGACACCAAAGCAGAGTTTATAAGATATTTAAAATTAGAGATATTCACAATTTGGTTATTTTGGCTTACATTTTGCAAATCTGGTTTTCATTTTGGTGCAGTTCACTATCTATTAAAAAAACCATACACATTTATCATACGTTTCTTGTTGTAGATTCTTAGGGGTTAATTCACCAAGATAGAAAATGTGGGGAGCTGGCCAAGGAATTTTACGTTAAAATAACAAAATTCGAAAAAAACCCAACAACTTCCAGCTTAATTGTCTTGAGCTCAGGCATTTTGACTTTCAATTAGCAATTAATTAGTCAGTTTTCTTGATTTCCACATTTAATGAATAAACGCTTGAGTATTTTAGGAAAAATAAAGATGCTTATATAAAAGAATATATATGAGTTGACTATCAACTGGTGTCATTTCTAATGTCCACTCAAATTTGAGATTCCATTAAAGTTCAAGTATGAGAGAGGTGAGACATTATTGTTCATTCTCTGGTGAATCAAAGGGTTAAAAAAAATAAGTAGCCCTCTCCATTAATAAATGACACCTCAATGTTTATCTCCCCCTTTTTGTGGATGGACCTTCCCAGTTGGGTCACTTCCCAAGGGTACTTCAGGAAGCTGACTTGAAGGAACCTTTTCCCTGGGGTCCTACAAGAAGACAGTAAATTCTTGGAAGCCTCAATACTTTCCACAGTGACCCAAGTGCCCCAGGAAATTCCAACCACTGTGGATAAGCACGAATATATATATTTATCACTTTTATTTGGAAGTTGAAGCATTATTCAAGGAATGTTGTTTTTAAAAGCAAAGCTATGGAGTGTGAGAGCTAGGTCCTCAAAACATCTCTGTCTATGTCTGTCCTTAGGGTAAAATTATAAAGTCAAGAGGTGAACAGATGAATAGTGGACCTAGGTCATTTTATTCTATAAAATGGACATGGAGATGTCTGTGTTATTTCAGTTTTACTTCTTCGGTTGTTATTAGATTGCACTTCCTTTAATTTAGAATTATGGGAACTGCGATCTAACAGCAGATGTAAAGTCAAGGGTGGTCCCTCTGGTTTAGAATAGTTACATTATCACACTCCTTAAGATTTCTACTGAGCTAATCAAACCAGGAAGTAAGTGTAACAAGATTAATTTATGAAAAAGTACTAATTTCTATTAAAAACTGTACTTTTTGTAAAATGAAAAAAAGAGGACATTCTCTTTACACATAAAGCACTTCAGGAATCTAAAGTGCTTTATGGGTCTGGGGTGTCCTTTTAAAGGGACACTATAGGCATTCAGACCACTTCAGCTCACTGAAATGGTCTGGGTGCAGAGTCCCTGTCCCCCTTAGATCTGCAATAGTAAAACATTACAGTTTTAGAGAAAATGCAATGTTTAAATTACAGTACTAAGACTGCCTCTAGTGGGTGTCTACCAGACAGCCACTAGAGGCACTTCCTGGATTTTAGCAAATTCTAAGTCTCTTAAACGATGCTGGACTATCTCAATGCTCTGCACGAGGACATCCAGCGTC